AATCATGTTGATTATTTAGAGGCCTCAGAAATTAGCATATCAAATATGACACATTATGCTTCACAGGGTTAAGAAGTATTTTTATAATTGCTTGCAAAATAAATTGCAATAGAGTAATAGCCTCTTAGAGAGAGAGCGAGAAAGAGAGAGTTCCTTGGAAGAGAAGATTAGTCGGAATCGTAGTTGCGCAACACACTCTCGTGTCGTGTGAGAGTCTCTCTCTATAAAAGGGAGAGTGCAGGCCTGTGTTAGACTACAGCAGACGCTCACTTCACACGTTTACTGGCATTTCTCTGCACAACACTGATTCAGGATGATGAAGTTCACCATAACAGCCTTCGTGTTTCTGATCTGCACCGCTGCACTGCTGTCCACAACAGAAGGTAAGCAGAATATAACATTCATAACGGTGTTTTAAATCAGATCATTTGCAGATATTTACACCAACTCTCTCTCTCTGTCACTGCAGGAAAACCTCGCATTAACATGCGCTGCCGGTGCATTCAAACACATTCAAACCCACCAATTCCTATTGATAAAATACTCTTGTTGAAGGTGATTCCTGCTGGACCACAATGCAAAAATGAGGAGATAATGTGAGTGTGAAACTTACTAAAACAACACTTCAAATACAGACACATGATGTATACGTCAAACGTCCTTTTTTATTATTGCTTCTTGCTTCCATCTGTCCAGATGCCACACTCCTCTTCTTCATCTTCTTCTTCTTCTTCTTCTTCTTCTTCTTCTTCTTCTTCTTCTCTTAGTCACCCCAAAGTGCATCCTGGGATGCCTTATTTAAACATCTCAGGAGTTCACATGTGTGGACACTTGTTGATGCTTTTTCACTTATTTTAATAATTTAAGCCTTCATATTAAAAGGTCTTTAATATCACGAGAGTGGCTGGTGTGAAAATTCATAACTGATGATGATACATGGATGTTTCGTCTGAATGAATGAAATTCAGCCTTCATTTACTCACTTTCATGTTGTGTCAAACCTGAATGGCTTTTATTTTCACCAGATGTTTAACAGAATGTCTGATCTGTTCTTCTATAAAACAAAATAAATCGTCTTCCTTTATATGGAAAAGAGCAGCGTGGATATTCTGCTATAAATAACTACTTTTGTGTTCCACGGAAGAAGAAAAAGTCATACAAATGTAGAAAAGCATTAGGATGAGACAGAATGTTTATTTTTGAGGGGTGAACTTCATTTAACGATAAAGTCACGACTTACCAGAATGTCAAATATAATTCCATACAATGGTGTGTAAAAATAATAATAATGAAAGCGTAATTTTGTAGATTTTAAATAATCATACATTTGTTTCTTACAGTGCTACAATGAAGAAAGGAGTGACGTGTCTCAATCCTAGTGAAGACTGGGTGATTTCTCTCAAGGAAGAGTAAGTTTGTCTATGATGCTGTCGCTTTTATTATCTGCTTATTATAAGTTAAATCAAATCATGCTAATGAATACTTTTATATTCGGACATTGCAGCACCTTTCATCCTTCAGATTGTAATGTACTGTGTGTCTCTTCATGTTTGCAGGATGAACAAGAGGAACGTCACAAAGAGCAACTAAAGGAAATTATTCATTCAACTATAACTACTGTAATATAGAATTTTTCTATTGAAATTTATTGTCTCTTATGGTGATAAATGAAGTATCGAATGTGTAAAAATTCTTTTGTTTTATAAACTGAATTTATTATTTTATTTTTTACTGTAATTTTGTCTGACCTTGTTCTCTATTGTATTTATTATTGTCGCAATGAATTATAGTTTTTATATGTTGATTATAGTTTTGCATTGTTTTTGAATGATGATACTAGCAATAAAAGATGTTTCAATTGTCATAATGGATATTTTTGGTGGTTTTTATTATGCTTATTTGTCATCTTTCATAACATAACCAGGTTACTGTAGATTATAAGGAAGTGTATTGCATTCACTTGAGGAAAAAAATCTCAATTTTTCTGAATTAACGAGTTAATTATCTCAGAATTACGAGAGAATTTTTCATGTAAAAAAATGTTTGCTCTGTTTTTCTTAAGTTAATATCTCAGAATTATGATAGCATTTTTTCTTGAAAAACATTTTTTTTCCACTCTGTTTTTATGAATTAATGAGTTACTCATAATTTTGAGATAATTAAGTCATTCATTCAGAAATTTTACTTTACTTGCGAGAGTGAGGGCGGGGCCTTGATTTCGCGGCCTTACTTCCTGCTCACGACCTTGACGTCCGCACGTCCTGCTTACTTCCTGGACGGCGAAGGGGCGTCGTCCATGTTTTTTTACAGTCTATGCTCCTGATCCTAGATAGTTTTTTTTACGTGCCATATAGTGGCATTAAAATATGCTTACATTTTGTGATCAGAATTTCTGTCCATCCAAAACTAATATTTAGCCTTCTTCTTTTTCACTGAAACTCTACAGTTCATCTCATGAATATCCAGTTTAGGCGGCTTGCTGCTAAGTACCTTAAACGAAAAAGTGACTCAATCTTGCCAACCTCCAAAGTGCACTTTTTAAATATTCAAATAACAATTTTTTTGTGTAAATGACACTGATCTATAATAAAGAATAAAAACCTGCATGAGTCCTGGAAGCGGTGTAGGTTTCAGCCAGTCACATTGAAGGGTTGAGGGTTTCTGGACAGCTCGCGGCTCTGGGGTGCGTTTCCCGAAAGCATCGTTAGCCAACTATGGTCGCAAGTTCCGTCGTTACCAATAGAGTTCAATGGAAATTGCAATCATAGTTGGATAACGATGCTTTCGGGAAACGCACTCCAGGTTTGCATCAGATAGTCAAGTCAAGTAAAATATCTTTATATAGCGCTTTTCACAATACAGATTGTATCAAAGCTGCCTCACAGTATCAATCAAAACAACTTAACAGTGTTTGTTTATTACTGGAAAAAGACATCCAAGTTTGGTAGAGCTGATCAGTGGTATGATGGGTCATTTAATTTGAATATCCCCAACTGAGCAAGCCAAAGGCAACAGTGGCAAGGAACCGAAAAACTCCATCAAGTGACCCGATGGAGAAAAAAAAAACCTTGGGAGAACCCAGGCTCAGTCGGGGCCAGTTCTCCTCTGGCGTTTTTATGAAGTAGAGGCTGAATTTACAGTAACTGTAAGATAAAATTTATATGAATGCCTGGCTAAATAGATGCGTCTTTAGTCTAGTTTTAAACTGGGAGAACGAGTCTGAGCAACGAACAATATCAGGAAGGCTATTCCAGAGCTTCGGAGCTAAATGTGAAAATGCTCTCCCTCCTTTAGTGGATCTGGATATCCTAGGAATGACCAGAAGCCTCGAATTTAGTGATCTTAAAGAGGGCGATAGAAGATCCGTTAAATAGACTGGAGCTAAAGCATTCAGAGCTTTATAAGTCAAAAGCAAGACCTTGTAATTAATACGGAACTTTATAGTCTGTACAGATAGTCTGTGGTTGGTCTGACCTGCTAGGAGCTGAGGCTGAACTTTGCTCTGTCTGTGTTTGTGGTAATTATGATTTATGTTTTAGTGCACATCTCCTTGTAATCAGTCTTCATGGAGGTCAGATTCAGTTCAGTTGACTTACTGTTACCTCTGATTAATTGTATGTTAGATTAAACCACAATGTATTTGGTCATAGTGCAATGCACATAACAGACAATAATCGACAAAAGTGTATTTATTATTCTCTTTATACTTAATTGATTGGTGACTGGTGGCATTCTGCAATTCAATCGTTTTTTTTTTTTGCATAACTGACAACCAATATCCAACACCTATTCAGTTATCTGCTCCTGCATAATAGCCTTATACTTTTAAACTTGGCATTTTGCACTGCTAATATTGTTGTTTCTCATGACAAATTGCTTGTGATGTTTTCGTTAAGTCGCTTTGGAAAGAAGCATCTGCTAAATAAGAATCAGAATGAGATTTTTTAGATAAATATGTCTTTCTGTGTTTTATCATCTCACATCTCTTATATCTTTTCAGCTCAAATCAAGATTTCATGTCCATTTATGTACATAAATGTTTCTCAAGTGAACATGCAAATGTGTTTTTAAAATGTAATATTTTAGATCAAAGAGGTTCAGGTGATAAAAAAAAGTTTGGAAATCCCTGAAGTACGGAATGACGCAAAATCACACAGGGACAATGTACACACTGCACACTTAGTTTGTACTTCACTTGAGAAACATATTATAGCAGCAATTGTAAATGTAAAGCGCTTTCAGTGCTGAGAAAAGCTCTATATTCAATGTAACAAATTATTATTATTAATTGTTATTATTACATATTTCAAAAGATGTGCACATTGCATTATAACATGCAATTTAATATATTATATAACTTTTACATTTACAAATAAATGATGCTACTTGTGCTTGACTTCCCAAAACATCAGTCCATCACTTATAGCTGGGGTTACATGTCATGCCATGTTTGACATTGACCTGGAAACAGTTTTTGTACTTTTTTTTTTTTTGCATTCTCTGCTCCAAATAATTCCACATGTCAACTTTGACAGGCCAAATGAGATGCTCAATATAACAGCCTTCAACTTCTGTCCTTCTTCAACACTATCCAACTTCACCTTGAATTTGGTTTTGTAACCACGTGTGCATATTTCATTTCCAAGTGTCTTCTGTCGAAATCCACATTTTAGGTGTATAGTACACTATTATGATGGATTTGATTGGCTTTTCATCATTTCACAATCCCAATTTGATCTTTATCTGACTTCTGGTAAAAATCCTAGTCATCTGTGAAAAATGACAAAGGCTTAGAATTAAAAGCTCATGCCTTCAGCAGAACCTGGGTTAACTGAGAAACACCTGTTGCGCAACCACTTTAAACCAGCATGATGTCAGTGGTGCGGTACTTTAAAAGAGAAAGTCCTGCCAGATTATCCACAAACGGGAAAGTGAATTCCAGCAGCTTTACCGCTTATACAGCTTATACTTACACGTTGTTCGCTCGGTGGGAAATCTCACGACAATGAAGTTCACCGTAGCAGCCTTTCTTTTTCTGACCTGCATGACACTGCTGTCCACAAAAGAAGGTAAGCAGAGGCATTTTCTGCGTGTTATTGGGAATATCAATTGTATTTGATAATATTAAGTATTTATGTTTTTAAAGGATTGAAATTGTCATGTGTCAAGTCACCTTTATTTATACAATACAGATTCGAAAAATGATCAGTGGTGCAAATAGAAATCAGTTCTGCTGTAAATCAGCTCTAAAAATGAGTTGAAAGAATTATTGCTCTCTCTTTTCATGAAGTCTTCGCTGCTAGACTGATGGCTCCACAGCTGCGCTGCCCGTGTGTTCGGACATATTCAGGAAAACCAATTAATCCCAAACTAATTCAGAATATACAGACGATTCCTGCTGGAGCAAAATGCAAAAACCTGCAGATCATGTGAGTGTGACACACCAAAGATCAGTACAATCTGGATTCTTAGATTCAAATGAATATTGTCTCTTATAATCTGTTTAATCTGTTGTTTTTTAATCGGCCTTCGTTAAACCTTCTTTGTCACACAGTGTCACTCTGAAACAAGGACAGACCTGCCTCAATCCCAAAGATGAATGGGTGAAAAAGATCATCGAAGGATAATTTCTCATCTATGTTTATATGCAAAAGCTTATGGTGTTCTGTGAAAAAAGCAGGTGTTTAATGCAAACATACATGTATCGTCTCATAGTGCAAAAATGTCAATACAACTCTTTGGATGCAGATGAGTTGCTCATTAAAAGTGATGAATAGATAAACATGCATCACTAAGCAAATGTATGAAAGCTTGCATGATGGCAAATGGCATGGCAAATTTTCTGAAAGCACTATTGCTGATCTACTATGTAGTAGTAATAATACACTATCATGTAGAAAATATGTCGAAAATAAATATGTATTTTTTTAAGTTTTCAACAATCTTCAGAAAATGGTCTTTGTCCACTTCAAGATGGCTATATATACATATATGAATTCAGATTAAGGCAATGTTTTGTGATAATTATAGCAGCAAGTAAGAAATCCCTTTACTTTTATGAAATTAATAAATTCCACAGATACAAATAACATTTATGAAATTATGAAATTCCAAAGAAAGTCATATTTGAATCTGCATGAGTAAATGATCACAATGTTTATTTGTGGTAAACTATTGCAACATGTTTTGAGAGCTGACATTATTTATATTTTGATGCCTGGGAAAATTGTGATTTCATAATACATAATGAATGATGCAAGAATCATCCTTTTTTTACTTGCATATCTTCCACTGGACTTCTTTCTGAAGTGCATAAATGCATAATGGTGCACACATGATTAATTGACTGATCTCAAATTACTCTCCTCCTGCATGGAAGTCCTAGTGGAATCCATTAAACACTCATATGCAGAAACCTGACATATGAACTCATTTTCCTTCATGCATTACGCCACTAAACTAATGCTGACCTTTTTTTTTTTCTTCTTTTTTTTTTTTGGCAGATTTATTCTTCCAGACAAAAATATTCACTTTGCACATGAACTTCTCTCATGTCCTCTGTATGACCACTGCTCTGTTCAGTCTCTCAACATGCAGGAGAAAAGAGGGTTAGACCATTATTAGACCATAAAAAAAAAAAAAATATAAAGAATAGGCTATTACTAAATGACTGCTGTCTGGGGCCTCAATACTTGCAAGTTATTTGTGAGGCTTTATTTTTTGCGCTTTTGGCGATTGCGAGCGATAATAAACTTAAACGTTTATTAACAGAATAATGCGTCTTTCGGAAGAACATTGTAGCCAAAACTACTTCTCTCTGTGTATATCTATGACGAGTCACACAGGTACTGGGCTACTCCGCAGCGGCAGCGATCCGAACCAGTGTAAAATAGTTCCAATGTACATTTACATTTACATTTAGTCATTTAGCAGACGCTTTTATCCAAAGCGACTTACAACTGAGGACTAAACCAAGCGAGTCATCGTGAAGAGGCAAAAACAACGCAAGAAGTGCTCAAAATACAAAGTTCAGACATAGCTCGGAGTAGCATAAGCCAGGCAAGCGAGGATTTAAAGGAAAGGATTTTTTTGATTTTTTGATTTTTTTTATGTTAAGTGCTCCCGGAAGAGATGAGTTTTCAGTTGTCTTTTGAATGATGTCAGGGATTCTGCATTTCGGATGAGGGTGGGGAGATCATTCCACCAGCATGGAACCGTGAATGAGAATGTTCTGGAGAGTGATTTTGTGCCCCGCTGTGATGGTACCACGAGCCGCCGCTCATTGACCGATCGTAGGCTTCTGGTAGGGATGTAGACTTGTAGTAGTGAGTGGAAGTAGGAGGGAGCTGAACCTGTGGTCAATCTGTAAGCAAGCGTCAAAGCCTTGAACTTGATGCGAGCAGCGAGTGGTAGCCAGTGCAGAGAGATGAACAGAGGAGTGACGTGGGCCCTTTTGGGCTCGTTGAAGACCAGACGAGCTGCAGCATTCTGGATCATTTGTAGAGGTTTAGTTGCACATGATGGAAGTCCAGCCAGAAGAGCATTGCAGTAATCAAGCCTAGAAATGACCAGGGCCTGGACGAGAAGTTGTGTTGCATGCTCAGTTAGGAAAGGCCTGATCTTCCTGATGTTGTGCATAGCAAACCTGCATGATCGAGCTGTCTTTGTAATGTGGTCTGTGAAGGTCAGCTGATCATCAAAGATTACTCCAAGATTTCTGACCGACCTTGATGGGGTGATTGAGGATGAATCTACCTGGATAGTGAGGTCGTGCTGAAGAGACGGATTGGCAGGGAGGACGAGAAGCTCAGTCTTTGCCAGGTTGAGCTGCAGGTGATGTTCCTTCATCCATGCCGAGATGTCCGCCAGACAGCTTGAGATCCGTACAGCTACTGTGGGATCATCTGGTTGAAATGAGAGGTAGAGCTGGGTGTCATCAGCATAGCAATGGTAAGAGAAACCATGTGCCTGTATGATGGGTCCCAGTGATGTGGTGTAAATGGAGAAGAGGAGCGGTCCGAGAACTGAACCCTGAGGAACCCCTGTGGTCAGTTGATGTGCTTTGGATACCTCACCTCTCCATGTGACCTTGAAGGACCTACCTGTGAGATAGGACTCAAACCAGTTGAGGGAGGTTCCAGTGATGCCCAGTGATGAGAGGGCAGACAAGAGGATCTGATGGTTCACAGTGTCGAAGGCAGCAGACAGGTCCAGTAGAATGAGAACTGATGATCTGGAAGCAGCTTTTGCGATCCGCAGGGCTTCCGTGACTGACAGCAATGCAGTCTCAGTTGAATGTCCTTTCTTGAAGCCAGATTGGTTGACATCCAGCTGGTTGTTCAGAGACAGGAAGGATGATACTTGGTTAAAATGTAAACACTTATTATAGGTGTACCAATATAGTTGTTCAGGATAAGACAAAAACACGGATTTAAAAATGGATTCATGATGAACTCGCTCATTATACAAATTTTGTAAATTTTTAACAGAAAAAAAGTTTTATTTAACTTTTATTTAAACGCACAGTATGGAACTTTTGGCCACCAGGGGTCACTCGATCAAAATAATAACAAAAGACGTACTTTGATGACGTCGGGAAAGTGCGTGGGCTCATGGGAGTTGTTGTCATTGTCACTGTCAAGCAGCGAATCTGTCATCTCCAGCAGAAAACATGTTCACTGACGAGGTAATGTATTGTTATATTACATCTCTATTGTTGTTACGTTTAGTTACGGCTTTTCACTTTATAATGTCAATCTAATGAAATAGCCGCGAGCTACAGTTAGTTAACAAACTTATCAGTAACGTTAGCTAATGTGTGAGACAGAATGTTGTGCGTGTGGTCGCTATGTCAACATACCTATAAGTTGAGTGACTTATATGCATCTTATGTGACCATAATGGTGTGTTCACACCGAACGCGAATAGAGCGTCAAATACGCGTCTATCGCGTCTAGTTAGACGCTTGAACATTCTTTCGAGTTCGAATTTTTCAACTAATAAACATGTATTTTGGAACTCACAGATATATGAATTACCAGACCATTATTAAATCAATATTATATTAAGCTCGTATTAACAGGTGATAAAAGTGACGGTCACCTTACATTAATTTAACAAGAGACATGTTACCATGAAGCTAACGTTACTTTCTCCAGCTAGATATAAAACCAATCCATCTGCGTTTTACACATCATCGTGTCACCAAATATACGGATAGAAATATACTTTTAAATAAGTTTTTAAAAAATAGTTTCAGTCTCCCAAAACAAATGGATCCGCCTGTTTGAAACGCCCATACAATACAAGATGTATACGTATTCAGCTAAACGCGTCTCAATGTGGTCAAGATCGCTATGCAATATGCAAACATACAGCATGCTATGATTATACGATTATTATGTTAGCTGAATGGTTACTTAACTTACCTGTTTATTAAAACGCAAGCGAGATCAGCATCTCTCTGCAGTGCGAGCTTGTCACGAAGCTTTCGCCATCTTTCAAAGGCTTCTCCAAGGTTTACACGTCTCTTGCTTCTTCTATGGTCCCAAAATCTTCTCGGGTCATTTTTTTCACCCGTACGTTTGCGCTTTGTTGAGCTGGCAGAACGTACAGCCAAAGAGTAGTCATGATCCATTATCATACAGACTTTTTTATACGGGTGTTCCCCTTATACTGTCAGTGTTCCTCTTTGAGTTTGGCGGTTCCGCCGAGTTCCGCAGGAAGGAAGACGCAAACGCGGATATGACGTGATAGACGGGCGACATAACGGAAATAAAGACACGGTCCGTGTCTTCGAATTAAAATATAAATTTCTCTGGATTTAGAAGTTAATTGGAACTGTCGGGATAATGTAAATACACAACTTTAAAAAAATATATAACATAGATATAGTGATTTCTTATATTTTTAAAGCAAAAAATTACATATTGTGCCTTTAATGCTCATTGCTCAAAGCTTTTCAAAATATGACGCGACCCCCCACAGAGCTCGCTGAGGC